TGAGAATACTAACTGGAATGAGGGTATTTCTCTGTCAAATCCAAATCACATTTTGTCTAATTTTTATGATAAGTTGGAGACAATACAGGAAAAATATAAAAAATAAGTTGTCTAATTGTTATAATGTGACAGGGCCTTTAGTGATTTAACTGTTTGTAAAACTGGTTTCACAGACATGAAACTTCATGGGAGTCCAGCCCAAGTGAAAGCAAAGTTTCACACTGAAGCATCATTAACACAAGTGTGTTATAACCACATTACCACTAACAAAAATAGTATTCCTATTGTATTCAGCTTCAGTTTCAGGTTGAAATTGCCACTTCTGATCCCCGGGAATGCATTTAACTATGGTCGCTGATGTCTCTAATGCCATATTTTGGATTATGGAGCTGCTAGTTACAGCAGGTCCATCACCAAGTGAGGAAAACCAGTTTGAAATGTGAACAAATTGGTAGTGAAATGGAGTCTTAGCTTTAAAACTATGCTACTTTGCTAACAGACTCCAAACACATCAATAAAACCTAAGTGTTCAAAGACCAAAAGTGCCTCGCAAAAGTTGAAAATAAGTATATTATGTAAGTTACTAATACATAAAAATATGTCAAAGTAAAGATAAATCAAATTTACCATTGGAACAAAAGATTTAACTACTAACAAAAGGAGATGATGCAGTACACCTGAGCACAACATCAACACAGGTGTGGTGTGAAGGACAGATGACATGTATCCAGATACGTACAGATGAGTTTGTACTGTTCTCATACCACAAATTGATGAGTTGTGTCTTCCCTGTCAGAGTTTTGGCTTATCAGCCCTCGGTTCGGATCCCAAACATCCAGAGCCTGGATCAGACGTGTCTAACATCAACCCTGGTTGATTATGGAGTTCCCTTCCACCCATCAACCCTGTCTACCATCCCTACAGACATGCAGAGTAAGTGGGTCTGATCTGTTCATTCACACAGTCTACCTCATGTTATAATACCTGTTTTCCTGTCTCTGCCCTACAGGTCTGTTGTCACTGATCCAGACAGACCCTCAGGTAAGGTCCCTGAAGCATCACGAATTAAATCAACCATTTAAATTACTGAACATCAAGGTTTTAGTAACAACTCTTCAGTAAATTGTTTTCAGTTGCTTTAAAGCCTCTCTGTCAATGGATCCTGTCTATGTTTTTGCAAAACTGAAAACAAACATAAAGAGATGACAGTAGGAAATTCTTATGGAACTAAAAACAGTCCTCTTAGATAAGCCCCCTCTCCACTGTCAAGTCTCACTCTGTTGGGTTCTGGTCGTTCGGTTCTACTGTCAGTGTGTCCCTCCCTCTGTGGGCGTGACTGAGCAGATGGTCAGCATGCAGCTTCAGTTGTGCTTAAAAAAAGCTGTTGTGGTTTTATCGTCCAGTAGTCGGACTTTATTTATTAATTTTTTTTGCRGTGCTGTTTATAAGTGTTTGTGCAACCGTGGACGGCCAGTTTGTTTGAAACCTCCCAGGATGTCCGCTCATTTTAGGACGGCTTCATCCAGCATTCACCTCCTTCACCTCTCTCCAGGAAGTGTTTGCAAGTTCTGCCTTTTCCGGTGTAGGGTGAAGTGACCCCTCTTCTGACAKGACCTCTCAACCCTGAGGTCATGTTCCAGAACTGAACTGAATTTTATTTTTTAGAAAAGTTTTTATAAAGATTACTCTTGACACGAGGTCTTCTGTGTCTGTAAGATTTATTGTCTTTTAATGATTGATCATTAATATACACTAGTGCTGTACCAAACGATTATTTTCTAATCGATTAATCTAACGATTATTTTTTCGATTAATTGATTATTCTAACAACAAATCTATAAGTTATTCTGATGTAAGTGCACTGGATATTTAAAATGTTTTCATCAAATTACCAAGAACAGTTC